GTGAAAGAACAACAGAAGATTCAGCACACTTGGGTTTCAAACTACAAGGTCTTTATAAAACTAAATGGGTCCCCAGAAGCAAAGGTGCTGGTCGTAAGAAGGAAAGAAGAGCTGGACAAATTCAACAGTTAAAAAGGTATCAACACTATATCATACTTGGAGAACTATATGGTGAACATGACTGATACACCTGAACAATCAAACAACAATGATCTGGACATGCTGCAGCTAACTCTTCTTTACAAACAAATGGAACTGGAAACATTTAAGTACATGGACTCACAACATTTATCAGATATTGACCCGGACAACAATTTGTTGTCTACATTTGATTGGAATTGTAATTACTTCACACAGGATGAATTTAATAAAAACATAAACACTGCAGGAAAATTATCAATAATACATTTCAATAGTAGAAGTATGTACGCCAACTTTAGTGGTTTGAAAGAGTTTTTGCAACAATTTGTCAATCCATTCAGTATCATTGCCATTTCAGAAACTTGGATCAATCCACATAAACATAATGATTTTTACTTAGATGATTATGATTTTATATGCATAAACCGAGATAAGAAAACGGGAGGTGGAGTAGCCTTCTTTATTCATAAATCGATTTCCTTTAAGATCTTGCCAAATATGTCTCTTGCTATTGCTGACTTAATGGAATGTCTAACGATAGAAATCCTCAACGAAAAGAGCAAGAACATAATAATAAGCTGTGTATACCGATCACCTGCATCAAATATAGATGACTTCACTGAATGTATGGACAAATTATTTTGTCCTACAAACAAAAAATGAATTATTCATTTGTGGTGATTTTAACATTAATTTACTCAATCCAGCAAAACATAAGGCCATAGCAGACTTTTCTGACACCATGTGTAGCATATCTTTATATCCAACCATAACCAGACCGAGTAGACTAACAGTACATAGTGCCACACTGATTGACAACATATTTTCCAACACAATAGAGAAACCGATCACCAGTGGCTTGTTAATATGTGACATTTCTGATCATCTGCCAGTCTTCCTCCTGTGTGACTGTGACCTTGTATACAACACAAAAACTGATCCTAAGGAAACTTACAAACGAGAGAGAACTGAAGTAAAATTTGAATGCCTTTAAAAATAGCTTAAATGAACAGGATTGGAGCTTAGTTTTAACTGAGACAAATGTAAATGTTGCATATGATACATTTCTGAAAATATTTCTTTCCTTGTATGATATACACTGTCCCATGAAATTGTGGCATAAAAAAAAAAAACAAAAAAAAAGTCCCTGGCTCACAAGAGGAATCCTTAATTCTTGCAATAAGAAACACAGCTTTCCGACAATATCTCTAATGAAAGTAATAGCCTAAGTATCAATCCAATTTCACTTAATCCTCATTCAATGTTTCTTGTTGCAACCAATGAACATGAAGTAAAGGAAGTTGTTCTTAAATTAAAAAACAAATTCTCCACAGATTGTCAAGGTATTGACATGGCACTTGTGAAAAATGTAATAAACAATATTGTCAAACCCTTAACTCATATATGCAATCTCTCCAGTCTGGATGTTTCCCAAATAAAATGAAAATAGCTAAAGTCATACCAGTATTTAAAAATGGAAATAAACACTGTTTCACAAATTACAGACCAATCTCTCTATTACCACAGTTCTCAAAAGTTTTGGAAAGAATTTTCATCTCTCGGTTGGAAACATTTGTTGACAAACATGACCTCTTAAACAACAGTCAGTATGGATTCAGAGGAAAAAGAACCACTTCAATGGCCATAACTGAAGCAATAGAAGAAATAACAAATTCTTTGGATCAGAAATTACACACTATAGGAATCTTTATCGACTTAAAAAAAGCCTTTGATACAATAAATCACTCAATGCTGCTGGATAAATTACAAAAATATGGTATCAGGGGTGTCGCTGGAGAATGGCTCTGTGATTATTTAACTGGTAGAGTACAGTTTGTTCACATGGGGGATCATGTCTCTGAAAATCTTGGCATTACTTGTGGTGTCCCCCAGGGGTCAGTGTTGGGTCCCATGCTGTTTAACCTCTATATCAATGACATATTCGAAGTATCGCAGTCACTAAAACTAGTTCTTTTTGCGGATGACACTAGCATTTTTTGTAGTAGTCCTGACTGCAAACAACTTATTGATACTGTGGATGTTGAACTGACCAAAATAAAAACATGGATGATGCCAACAAACTGTCCCTGAACCTAAATAAAACAAAGGCAATGATTTTCGGTTATGCAAAGAAAAATACAGAGTTTAAAATTAATATTGATGGAGTTGAAATTGAAAATGTTGCTGAAAATAAATTCCCAGGTGTAATCATGGATAACAAATTGTCATGGAAAGCCCATATAAGTTATGTGACGACAAAAATAGCTAAAAACATCTCAATCATGAATAAAGTGAAACATTATCTTGATTTTCATGCACTACACACACTATATTGCTCATTGGTATTACCCTACCTAACATACTGTGTTGAGGTGTGGGGTAACAACTACCAATGTTCAACAACACCCTTATTCTTATTGCAGAAACGAGCTGTGCGGATCATTCATAAAACAAGCTACTTGCATCACACTCACAAACTTTTTCTTAAATCTAAAATACTAAAATTCCCAGACCTTGTAAAATTTAACACCGCCATCATGTTATTCAAGGCATTTCACAAATTGTTACCTCATAACATACAAACATATTTTGTGCCTAAAGAAAAAAACTATAATCTAAGAGGTCTTGGACATTTTACACTTCCCAAATTTCGATCTACCCATAAAAGTTTCTGTGTGACTGTGTGTGGTGTCAAACTGTGGAATGCTTTGGATCCTCAATTAATGCAATGCCAAGATATTCACAGATTTAAGACATTATATAAAAACAATGTCTGGTCCGAATACAGAGAGATTATGACTTGAATGTATTTCTCTTCTTTTCCCTCGACTCATGTTGGCATGTACTTGCTCTTGTTAATACATTTTGGAGTATGTTTCCTTACCATTGCTGGTATTTGCTGTTCATTACCATTGTTGGTATTTCTTTTTTTAAATTGTTTTTGCATGTAGTTTCTTTTTATTTTTTACATTTGTCTTTGATGACATATTCAATAACTCATTTTGCTTATGAACAATATGTTTAAGATTTTGATATCTGTGCTAAATTTACGTTGGAGCTAAAACCGGAGCCTTTACTTTACTTTACCCTTGTAATGACCGAAGTAATTAGGGGTGGGATTAAATAAGTGTTCACTTCTTCCCACTCCTTTTCGAGCATCCATAAGTGTTATGTTAGTATCACTCACTCTTTTTGTTATTACCCCTTTGTTATATTTTGTACATGTACCTAAGTTGCTTGAACTAATTATTTCTATGCCCGCTTACTTGCTCGGAATGAATAAATAAATAAAAAATAAATGTAAAGAGTTCAAGTAAAAACAGGAACATCATTTTTTTGGTTTTATACAAATGCTGTTTTTCAAAATTTGTATAAACTGAGCCAGATTAAAGAAGAGCAGGAAGAATTGTGCATGCTTTTGGACAGAGTCTGCATAATATCTTGACTATTGTCCCAGAGCGTAGAGCAGCAGCAGACTAAGCAGCATAAATCAACTATGGTAATCTGCCACCTCCACCCACTGCAAACACTTATGCAACTTAGATGCAAATGAGCCTTAGAAACTACCAAGATATCTCACTAGCACAAGTAAGTTTAGGACCTCACTAATCTGATTGCAGAGCAAGAGATGGAGACAAAAAGTGGACAATTCGTATTCACAATGTTACATGTGCACTAGCCTGGGGCTGATAAAGCTGGGGTACCTAATCTTCAAAGCACAAACAATGGAACTATCCTAACTCAACCTATTTTATTTATAGCAATGTTTTTCATGATCTTTATCCTTTTTATAATTCTTTAAGTGAGAAAAATAAAATGAGAAAATCATTAAACTATCTGGTTTTACTATAATCCTCCAATCTTACTGATGGTGCTTATACTGTACCAGGTGACGGGAGTATTATTTCCAAAAAAGCTAAATAATGAGATAAATATAGGGTACCAAAATTTGTGAACAAATCAGAACATGCGATCTAATATTTTCCATACTTGTGAGAAAGAGCATTGTGAGTCACTATTTGACATTTTCGGCTGAGAGCTGATTGAATTATCAAGAGTGGTCCTCTATGACTGAAGACAAAAATACATGTCCAGTGGTAGAAACAAACTGTTGAGTGTAAGGAACTTACAAGGTTTGAAAGTTGTGCCCCAGCATTTCAGTCCAGGTGATGACTGTTGGTGATTAGTAATCAGATTACTTTTGGCATTAACTACTAAGTAGCATTTCACATTACTTTAGCCCCTCACTATGTCGTCGTTCACCTTTTGTGGCATTGCTGATTCACTAGATTTTTGTGGTTTATTTTATGTGATATGATATGTTAGAGTGTGTGCGTGTATCTATTTCTTTATTTACAGTATATACAGTATAACAACAATCCCATAATCATAATGTAACTCAGTGAACTTGATGCATTGATGCATTATTTTAAAAAATACATTTAAATAATATTAACAATGCATTGTTTTTATATTGAGCTTTTTTGGACAAAGACGTTTCACATGTCATTATTCACTCCATACACTGTAGCCACAGCTGCCCTGGGGCACACTGAAAGATGTGCCCCTCCGACCACCACCAACCATTCATACACACACCAGACTGACTCTAGGCAAGTCTTGCCTAAGGACACAACGGCAATTTAAAGATACTGACATGTTTAATGTAAAGAAGCTGAGTTGAAACAAGATGTCCCTAATTTGTACAATGACGTTGGTGTAGTGAGCTATAAATAAACATTGTCACAGCCTAATGTATCTCTAAATACTACGACTACTGCTACTTCCTGACTTCCTTATTTGTCCATGTGGTTTAAACTCACTGCACAAGCCCACGGAAGGACACATGGTGGAGCCACTTACTTGGCAAGCTTCATCTCGATCTGTTGGCGTATTTCCTGGCGTTCTTGGTCGCTACGTGCTGGGAAAATGTTTTTGTCCTCCAGCTCCTGTTTGCTCGGCCGGTTTCGTAGTTTCACTGCAAGCAACTCCTTCCTTAACCTGCGAGGAAGCGTGCCTGCGAGAGAAGCGAGGAAAGTTAAGTCCTCGCAGCAAATAAGAAACTTGTAAACGATGTGTGACTAAAATCTGCAAATGGCTCCGTGCACTTTATAAACACCAGAAAACCAAACATACAGCTTATATCACTGCAATAACATGTTTGTAGCTATGTAAAGGGTGCTACTTCTTGCTGTTATGTATACATATAGATGAAAGTGCTGCAATTATTTTTTATTAATATATATATTTAAGGATAAGAACATAAGAGGGTAATACTTAAGCTAATGATACTGACCAGAGATGACGGAATCGTTCCAGCTCTCCAGGTCAAAGGGAAGGCCGGAGGTGATGGAGAAGCATTGGTCCAGCCGAACGTTCTCCTTGTTTTCATCCGCCTCCTTCTTGGGCCAGTCTGACCCCCCCACAGAGCTACAGGAGCGGGACAGCCGGCCGTCCGAGCTCCACACACTCTGTTCACAGCCCTCGTGAACGCTGGGAAGGGAAAGAAATCAACATGACATCTGGCAAATGTTAAAATAAAAGAACGAGGACGGTTCAAGTTTGACTTTGTCCCTACATAGTTGCATACAGGCCCTTTCTAGAGCAGATTCTGTGTAGATTTTATTCCATTTACAGTATATGCTGTGCGATGAGCAAGCACTCCTGATTCCTCTGTCCTCATCTTATCCCAGAAAAGTCTAAAGACATGTTTCCACTTTTTGGTCTGGGTGAACTTTTGGGACACATGTTCTCTTTCTAGTTGTTACGTTTTTTTCTTTTATCCAAAGTGAACAAAAATTGGTTTCAGTTAAAGTGTGAGCCTTTAGTAGACTCGGGATCAACAGACTTAACTCTTGAGTTTTGAGATTTTTTTCCTTTCCAAATAAATACTGAAGAATCTGGTCATCTTCTCAGACCAATCATCATTTGTATGATGTTCTAGCTTGATATTGGAAAATCAGTCGATTGTGTGAAGTCTTATGATTTTGGACTGAACAAAATTGATAGATAAATTGGTCGAGAATGTCTCACATTCATTGAGACTATGAAGCAGCTCTGTATTTATGACAAAGATAACACAAAGATTACATCAGTTTTGGGTTCTACAGGGCAGATTAGCACTCTGTATCCTCCACAGAACATCTTGAAATCTGCCTTTACCTCTCTTGTCTGTTCTTGGAAGCGAAAGCTCTCTGCAGTTCCTCCATTATACAGCTAGGGGGCATGGGTGGGTGAATCATGTTGAGGTGCGGCGAGCCTGATTGGTTGCAGAGGGGCCCTCTTAGTGGCAGGGGCATCGTCACCATGGTTTCTGGGGCCCGGAGTGGAGGCTCTTTGGGCTGGAGGTAGGAGTTAGGCAAATGTGTAGGCAGCGACATAGGACCAGGGTCTGAGAAAAAGCAGAGGTTGTATTAATGGGAAATGTTTAAATCCTTTAGAAATATTATTCATTAGTGAGTGGAAGCACCTTCCCCTGAGTTGTGCAGGGACATTAGTTTTGGAGGTACTTGTGGAGGTGACGTCTCTGTTGCCAGGTCCTGCTCTGTGGAATCTTCTCCAGGCTCAGATCCATCCTGTAGTCCATCGGGGAGCTCTCCCGTGGGGTGTGGCTCATCGCCCCGGGCCTCCTCTGACAGAGCCATGTTCTCCTCCACACAACCTCCATCCTGCAGCGGGCTGCTCACTGCAACAGTCACAACCAGAACCAAAAAGTTAACTTCAAACATAGCTTCTGCTCATCCAAAACCATTTTCTAACGTCACAAACTGTTTTCATGCCCTATTGTGCCACTCTCCTCCCATTATTAGTTGTATTACGCTGTATTTGTCCATTACATGCTGAGGCTTATTTGTATTGTTGTACACTTTCTCACTTGACTACCCCCGATATATTCAGGCTACTATATTCAGACTGTCATTCCTTTGTGTTTGCTGCCCTCTAGTGGTCACAGAACGGAATGCCATGCCAATTTTCCATTTAAGCATATTGTTCTCAATGAGCATCATAACAATGTCTCATTACACACATTGTTGGTTTTTACCTGGAGAGAGATGGTTCTCGTCTGGTCCCAGGTATTCAACGCTGCTCACTGTGAGATTAGCACCAAGAGAACCCCCAAAGCTTCCGACCAGCAGTGTCCCGTCTGAGCAGCAGCCCTGGGTGGGCGAGGAGGGGTCATGGCACAGAAGACTGCTGGATAATGCTACATCTATGAGAGAGGGGATAGTCCATTAGTCAGTCTATTCATTACACCAGCTCTGCAGTCACAGCAATGCAATTAAAACGCCTAGCTAATCTAATCTAATCCCAGACTCAGGCCATTCGAAAGTGGGCAATAGTATAATAGTGATGAGGCCATTTTGTGTCCGCTCTGAGCACTGGTTTCACACCATTTACTTCATCCTGGGTTATAGGTCTTACACACATACAGTACAGTATGTGCTTTTTAATATTGTGCAGTTTTTTCAATTTGTAGTTTCTTACCAGGCTCTAGAACATAACTTCAATGTCCATCCATTTTCTTCCCCTTAATCCATTTCTGGATCGGGGAGATGGCCAGAGATGGCACCCAACACACAGAGCACCAGCCCCTCACTGATCCTCCTGCAGGTAGTGAGTCCACAGAAGCTGAGATCTTTCAGTGGGAGCTTCAGGCAAAGTGGGGTTAAGTGTCTTGCCCAAGGTCACAACGACAGCAGTCATCAGTGGGAGTCGTGAAGTAGGTCTTACGGTGGGTTCGAACCCACGACCTTCAGGCTCAAAGGCCAATGCTCTACCAACTGAGCTACTGTCGCCCCATAACTTCAATGTAAAGTGATCAAAGGAAACTCAATGCAGGTCAAATGTAATGTGTAGAATCTTTTTTAGAGAAATTCTGACAATTAATACAGATATGATAGGTCGAAATAATTGGTTTAATTCACTCTCCTGCAGTAAGCCATGGCACGCCTATCAAGTGATGACTTACCATGATTTACACTTTTATTAACATCAACAGAAACACGCCAAAAGCAACTGTCTGTTTTATTCAGCTCTCCTCCAGCGTCTCATTTCTCATTCGTTAACATAATAAATTGACTGATGATTCATTCACAGCCCACTGAACGACACAGGAAATTAATATTCTTTTAATTTGGTGTAAAACATTTACTTGGGGACATCTCATTTGTGTGACTGGGGATCTGGAAGGTTCCCAGGAAACTCAAGCAAACATGAGTCAAGTAACATTTGCCAGCATACAGTCACAGTCATGAAACAGCCACTAAAATAGAAGTTTTCATAACAAAATAATGAATTACACATAATTAATGTATCGTTTGCATTGCAATCCAATACAAGATGTGAAATTAAGTAAACACAAAGGGATCCTTTTGTAATTGTTATTTGAGTTTTCAGTCCTTGCCTTTTGCACATAGTGTATGAAATGCAGTAAGAATGACAATATAATATTAAAAGTGTTCCAAAATCACACAACGCACATGTAATATAGAAATAGGGATCCCCCATTTTGAGGTGGTTGGTCTCTGTGAGCTGAAACCAGTAGGGAAGGAATCTAGATGTTTTTCACCTATCACGGAGGACTTCTCACAAAAGTTATTTAGTATTAAGTGATTCTTGCCACGAGGATGTGGAATATGCTGGAAACAATGAGGGAGTTCAAGTAGCACCTGAGAGTGAGGCTATTTGAACTTTTCCCTCAATATCAGATGGTTATGTGACCATGGAAATGTATTTCTTTCTGTTCATTAATTACAGGGTTTTCTTATTTGATCTTTTATGCGCTTATTAATGAGTTATCCTGAAGTAGCTAGAACAATTACAATCACAAATAAAAAATGTTCTTATACAATTTTGTATAAGAAAAAAAAACGAAATTCTGGGTAAATATCAGCCAGAAAATGTAGTCGATTAAAAGGCCTGACGAGGGTTAACCGTCAACATGGAACCGATACCCAAGCCAAAAGGACATGCCGGCACCTGCTTGGAGGAGTTAATGCTAAACTTCCCTTTATAATATCGTCAATTCCATCGCAGTTTCTTAATTGTCTTGAAAAGATATATAAAATACTTCATTGTTACTTCTTAAATCCACCGTGCTAAGAATAGAACTGTAAAACATGTCTTTTATAAAGGTTGAAGATTTTTTTCAAAATAGTTTCAAGTCCCAAGGATCAGCTACCGATGTATCCTACCACTGTATTATTGCGTTTCTCAGTCTCTACTTTGCAGAAACAAATGCATCACCTGTTGAACTTTGCTTCAGCTTTTCATTTTTCTTTTTCCTCCACTTCCAGGGCTTGAAGAGTCGCCCTATCGTAGCCAGTTTGCTGTTCCTCCTGATTGGTGGAGTGTGGACCCCAGTCACCAGGCATCCCGTCCTCAGCACTCTCTGCTGGTCAGCCACCTCCACTGCAAGAAAAGGTGAAAGAATGAAATCATGAAGCCCATTGCCACAAATAATAACACATTATAAAGTATGTAATCAGTCAGATGCCACATTTAAGTAAGAAGATAAAAAGAAAGAGAAACAGCAATTAGTTGACGCTGAATTGACCATAATGTACTTCAAACGTAGCTAGCCGATTGAATTAAAAAGGTTAACCTGATTAAGGCACACTCTGTCACAGCTATTTCTTCCCTGTGAATCCTCTCGCCTGGAGCCACATATCGCATATCAAAAAAGATTCATCTCAGAGTCCAAATCTGGCTCACACAAACACGACAGCTCACAGCAGTAGAAAAAATACTATTAGACCAAAAAAGCAGAGGAGAGGCAGATTTCCCAGAGAACAACAGGTGTGCTCCCAGCAACAGCGTCAAGGGTATACAACATCGGTAGTTTTTTTATGACTGAAAATATTTATTATGTCAAAAGTGGCATAATAAATATTTATTTGTGATCATACAAAGATCACAAATAAAATGACCAATAATAATAAAATAGAATACAAAAAGTGAGAACATATGCACACATAATACACCCGTATACATCAGAGATTTAGCTTGTAGGTTAGGGGAAAAAACAGTGTAAGGTGTAATACTGAATATACACAAATACAAATCTATCTATCTAATAGTCTATGAAACTAATACTTTTCTGTCACTAGTTTGCTCTAAGGAGTTGTGGTCTAATTTGTAGATTTTTTTTTTTTTGAAGAGTCTTTCTCTTGGTATAAACATAATGTATTAGGGGATAGAGTAACACATGACTCCCCAACAATCAATAATAGTAAAATAATGTGTGTAATTATTGACACAGATATATAACAACACAAAAAAGTTTAATCATACATTCTGTGGTGAATCGATAAGCCGGCAAATTGTAAACTACAAAAATAAATGAGTACTCTTTATTTATAGAGCTCCTTTCACAGACTAGAGCCACAAAGCACTTTACCTCTCACTCCACACAGTGATGGGAGCGACGTTTAAATTACTTTGAGATTTTTACTTGAGTATAGTCCTCGTTGGTTCACACTCCACAGAGCTGTCAGTCTGCTATCTACAGTTCTCATAATCCTGTGACAGAACTATTCAAAGCCACAGACAGCCAGGAGAGTGAGCTGTCCATCAGTCACTCCCACTGTCGGCCTGAAAATCAATGCAAACAGTAAAACAACCAATTATGCAGTTCAAACAATAAAGAGAGATGGACATTTTGTTTCCAATATTTGCATAAGAATGACAGTGTTTGCAGCTGCTGTATTTAATGAGGTTATATTGTGAGATAGACAGGGATTGTGCTACATAAGCAAGGAAACACAACTTAACTCTCAAACCACAAACTATAAACCTACAGTAGTTCATATATATTCACAAAGCCCTATTCGGACGGGATTAGTATTACCTGTGGACCCCGTCAGAACACCGGATGTGTCATGTGAATTTTTCATCATCGGATTTTTTCGCGGCAAATTTAGACTGTTGAATTTAAATGAAAATCATTATGAAATTGATAATCAGTGACTGAAATTCAAAAACAAAAATGTTAAAAAAATTCAAATAGATGAATTCAGGTCCATTTAAAATTCAATTTCTGATGGAACAAATAATCCGTCTTTTTTTTTTTTCATTGAATTTTTTTTTTTGAAGGTGAATATGTCATTTTGAAATTTTAATCACATTGAAATTTGTAAACTGAATTTTTAGTGACTGAAATGCAAAGACAAAACTATTCAAACATGCTTTTTTCAGGGTTAAAAATTTCAAATGGAAAATTTCAAGCTAAAAAATTCAAAATCTGATGACACAAAAAATCTTCCATAAAAGTCCTTCCCCTTGGCAGAACTACACCCAGTACCCAGTAGTATTTGCTGAAGGAGTATAGTAGCCTAACCTAGTCTAACCTGTGCTTGTCCTCAAAAAATGTCACTCTCCATTCACAAGTTGTTTTGCATCCTTTACAACACAGAAAGTGACCAAAGTGTTTTACAATAAGATCAAGCCATAACAAACTACACAGTATTCAATAAAAGGTTGTATGAAATGTGTAATTCTCTGTGTATTGAAAGTCTGAATATGGGTTTTCAGCCTATATTTGTACTGTATATATTTAAAGTCAAACGTCTGTGATGCTGCAAAGGCAATAACAGCCGCACGTCTGAATGGTCAATCTTGTGCAGCACACCCACAAATAGAGAAATCTGTTTATACCTGTTTTGATAAATGAGGCCCATCATTTTTTCCAATAAGATGAATGCAGCTCAGTGTCGTCCAATTTGTTCACAAAACGTAAACCAAATGTAGTATTTATGATGAGAACATAAAGTTGGTACGCCCCAGCTTCAATTGTCTGTGTTTTCGTACATTCCCAACTTTTGCATGTTTTAACACACACTGTGATTGCCGGCCTGTGTATTTTCAGAATCCAAATCTGTATTTTTATCCATTTTCTTTGCAATAGCGAGCACGTGTTTTGTTATTGATATACAGTAGGAATATGATAACATTTGAGTTTTTTTCTTTGAGTAAAAAAGGCTGTACAACCCAGCCAAACATTTGCATATCATACATTACTGAAGAAAATTGATCAATAAAGTAAGTCAATGTTAAATTAAGTAAAAATGGAAGTGAAGTAACATAACATATATAATATTATAATTTCACTGAGCATCATTGTGGTAATAAACAGCGCTTCAAAGTGTGAGATTCTGTCCGGCTGCATATCGTCTGCGTGTCTCATGTCTGACTCACGGCACTTGTGTCTCAATCAGTTTTTCATTTTTCACCCACGTTTTTACCGCCTCATCACACAAACTCAACAGGAAATGTACACAGGAGGCATTAAGGATCTGCATGCGTCACTATGCTCCAAGAGAAGATTGAAATTCTTGTTCAAAAATCCGAGAAAAGAGGATTTTTTTAAGTGGGGGTGGAAGGGAAAGTGATGGAGGATGGTGATAGTTGAAGACTCTTTTAAGGGTTGCACTCCTCCTCCTCCAGCATGTAAGAACCCCCACATTCTCCCCAGAGCAAAGGAGCCAGGAGCAGGGGGAGGATGAACCGAGTGTAGAAAGAGCAAGTTAATCTACTACATAATATATAGGCGTATGTACTGTAAAAATTCACAATTCTCTGCCTGTGTGTAATTATAATGTGTAGCAGAAGGTCTATAATGAAATTGATTGTTCAAAATGAAATCATCTTAAATAATTGCGTTGCATTTTCAGATGAAAAATCACAAATGTTGAAATGTATCATTTGTTTTAGCTGCAAAATTTATTCACTCAGCCTAAAAGATAGGAGAACCTTTATTACTGCCACAGTGGGGAAACTTCAGTGTTGCTGTAACAAGCATTCAAAACAAGATGAACGTTTCTTCCAATGTATCCGAAAAGCATTACTACCATCGTCAGTTACAGTAGTTGGCTCTTTCATTGCATTCACATGATGCAATAACAAATACAAATTCCTGGGATTTAGCAACAGAATGCAGCCAAACAGAATGAAGGCAACAATATCATAACATTATATCATATGAAAAAATAGAATGCTGGACATTGTTAGACTATTTTTTTTAGATAGTCTGAGGACAGTGTCAAATAGTACAAAATCATTAATAAATTAATTTTTACTTTTAGAGTGATATTGTTAATTACAAACTCGTTGCTCATGATTGCATACTTCAAATCTTCCCAAAGTCCAAACAGCTTTATAATATTTACATTATTAATATTGTCAGTGTTTCCCATGAATAGCGGAGACAACAGTGGGGGCCATATCCTTTGATTTGCAACGTCTGAGTTTAAAACAAGTTGAACAACACTAGTGAAAGTGTCACTGTTTACTTTCACAGTTGCTATTCAGAAGTAGATATTGATTGCAAATTTTATTCAACATAAATTGTATGAAATAATGGATGTCTTGTGCCACTGTGGTCTCAGCTCAAACCTGAGAGAAAGTACTTTAGGATGCAGCGTGCAATTCCTTCTGCACAAACACTTTAAACGGGTTTCCCAACGGCATCAATCGCCTTGTTAAAAATAGGGCTTTTCTCACGGTTATATTGTCTGTGAAGCATTCGTTTAAGCTACGTAAAGAGGAGTGGTCTTTGAAGCGCAGCTGGCCCTTCTCTGTTTGATGAGCAACTACTTTAAACTTCCTCGAAACCCTTCCTCCGTGTCTGTCGGGAGGCGGCAGACGAAGAGCAGCGCGCAGAATCCAAATCAGGTCAAAAGCTTTAAAACCAAAGGGAAGCGCTCTCTGTCGCCACGGAGACGCAGAGCAGGAAGGGGGGGTGTGCATGTGGGGGGGATTGGGGATGAGAGCGGGTGCTGCTGCTGCTGCTGTTACCATGACAACCACATCCAGATGCAGCGGCCAGCAAGAAAGAGAGAGAGAGAGACTCCCCGCGATTACCAGCATCCCCGGCGACAGTCACCTCTGAGCGGACAGTGGCGGCAGCTGGTGCATTGTGGGTAATCTGGGAAGGTGACGAAGACTGGGTGGAAGAAGAAAAAAAAAAACAGCCAAGAGTGGGGTGGGGTTGACAAGGAAGTAGGGGGGTTTCCAGTGAGGAGAGGAGTAGAGGCGGCGAGGGAGGGGATACGGGGGGCTGTTGCTATACGGAAGAGCTTCAAGCAGAAAAAAAACACCCGTCCAATCACAATGCAGCTATTTATAATGCATATCAAGTAACTCTTCATTTTTCATTGAAGGGTGTTTGGGGATTGACAGGGTGAGTCTGGGTGAAAAAAACACACATGCAGATTTGTTTTGTACAAATAGCAGAGCATGCATGAATGGAGGGCCATGTGGCGGAGAGGATGCGCAGCTCTAATTAATATGGTAATGCGAATAGGATTTATTAAAGCCACGTGTCACGCTGTTGCAAGGGACTAGCGCATCCCTTTTTGCGTTGGCCTCTGTTTGCTCTGTAATACCCGCCCGGTGTGGCTTTAATGCAGGATAAAAAAAGCATTCAGAGTGTTGGGCACAGAGCGGGGCTATGTAAACATGAGGAATGAGGGCAAACCCTGGTCACAAATGCCACGTGCTGCTACCGCACAGAGCTGGGAGTGATTTAGTGAGGACATAAAGGAGGCAATTTCATAATGTGAGTTGGCAACATGAGCTCAAAGTGAAAGTGCTCCGAAGACCCCCACCCCTTCCTCTACCCCGGTGTCAGCAGCAGAGGTGAACTTTCAGACTGCACCCGCAATTCAATATTATCAAAAAGACCATATATTAAGACTGTCAAGCTCAGCAGGGTGAATAAACAGCTGAATAAGCAAAAATATAGAAGTTGCCATTTGCCAAATCCAGAATGGTGGATTCTTTCTCTTGTCATGTTGTCGATATTATAAGCCAGAGCGATGGGTGATATTGATACATTATTATATTGAAGTCATTAGCTTGATTATTTTGAGGTATTATGATCATTATACATTTAAAACATCCTAAATCATCCTAATGTCACTGTATATGTCAGTATTAAATGTCTGGCCCTCAGGAGCTAGGCTTATGTGAAAAAAACTATTGTTCCCTCATCAAAAACAGACCTGAGGTTGTTTTGAAATCCATCATGTTCACAGCATTTTTCTACCTTTCAAAACAAAAGTGTTGATTTGACAATATTGATTATTGGTTGTGACAATTTTTCAGTTGAAATTGTGTTAATAAAGTGGTTGCAGCCTGTAATAGAAAATAATATTGTAGAATGGAAGAATAGGTAGTCCCAGAGGAAGCATTTTTTTACCCTTCATAGTTGATTCACCATACATTATCTACTTATTATTATATATTATTATTTCACAATGCACATTCTAAAAAATGAAATGACAAACTACATCGTCTCATGTATTTTTTTGGCCTTTAAAATGATAATATTTCTTCTATTCCATTGGAGATTAAGGCGTGCTGTATACATGATTCAACAAGAAGAGTTCCATCAAACACACAGTATTGTCCACTCCACACACATCAATGTTGTCGTAGTGAAAACCACAAAGGATGCAACTCTACGCTGGATCTTTCATTGATTAGAATATAATATGAGTGGACCACTTACACCACAAAGGCGCGGACAACAGCCTTTGCTGAATCACTATTTAAGCACACAAGAGAGACTGTGTTTAAATCACCGTGGTAATAAATAGTTAAACAATTCCATTTCAGATCAATACACTTTAAGAGTACACTAGACTTTTTTAAGTATTTACCTCTAACATCAAGTTACAAGAACCTGACAAAGATTTTACTATTCTCTAAATGCAATCACTCTCAGGACAAAAACAAGTCTGTAATACGTTCTATATCCTTACCGGGGACTATGCAATCCAAATTTCGAATGAGTTAAATTTAGTTAACCTCGATACAGAACTGATTTAACATTTCTAGCAGTGCCTAGTTATAACAAAATCATCAGGAAAAAAACCATTTCAAACATGGCTGCCAAATTAATTTCTAAAAATACCAGCTCATTAGTGCGCACCATCCAACATTGGTTTCATGTCTTAACATCCAAATTTGTTGAAAAACTTGTTTTCTGTACAGATTTCACATAAACCTCAATGTATTTTTGTTCACTCATTTGCAATCATCAAAAATAGAACTGCGGCTTCACTTTGGGTTGCCAGATTCCAACCAGTTTGAAATACTCCTAAATATCTCTCTAATGTGATTAATTCCCAGCTCATTATATACCAGTATATGGACTCAATATTTATCTGTTTACAGTTACTTAATAGTGGGAGTAATTCTGTAACTCTTTGTATAACAGTGCACAGGATGTTGAATAATTAACTTTTACGGTTTGCATAAGGGGGTCGCCAGCACAGGAGGCACATGCCACACCTATTGTACATGTTTTTAGTGGACCTTCTTACTATGAGGCACAAGCGCTAACCACTGCCACTGTGCTGCCCCTAAATCTAAAGCTTTTAATAATAATATTTATAAAGGTTTCAATGTGATCCTTTAATGCACTATTTCTCTAAAGCAGTATATTGCACATGAGGTGTTTGTCATACAGTATCAGAGCCTTGACTTAGCATACAGCATATACATATTTAATTTTTCTTATGTATCTAAAATTGTAATTGTATTTAGAATGTACTAATCATTTTAGAATCTAGTTAGAAATAAGTAAATGAAATAAAAGTTATCATATTTTTTTGATTAAAGCCGAAGAGAGCAGGGCAAGGCAAAAGTAGGTCAAATTAATGATGTACTGTAAATAGATGAGACAGGTACTGGTGGATCACTACTGAGAAGACTGTTAAATCATGCCTAAATACCTACAATATTCTTACTGAATGCTGTGTGTACTATGATACATCTCCGGGATCAAACATAAGAATTTAACTGCATATCATGTGTATGTGTTAGTATTTGGTATGTGACACCTGGTTGTATTTGTGCCTAGGCTGGACCCCTGCTCACTCCTCCAGGTTTCCCGCTGCCTGCCCTTGAACAGACCACCTCCTCACCCGCTGATGCGCTCTACTCCAGGCTCCACAACCGCGCCTCCATCTGCGCTGCTCTCCGCCCCATGCCCGAGGGGTCCACACTGTACCCACTGAGTCCAGGCCGCCAGAATGACACGGATTAGAACCAGCAGCGGGGCCACAGTAAGTCATGAGCTTTATCAATGAGCTGCATATTTCCAATGCTTGAGAAGAACCGTGGCCTTGTTCTGTGAGGTGGCTGAGTCAAGTTTTTAAATCAATAAGCGTGCGACTGTGTAGATACTAAATGTTTCATTGAAGAGAATGCATTGACACAGTTAACCTGAACGTGGCGATAAAATATTAAAAGCATTTAAGTTTTAATCAGCACAGCCACCTTTTTCTGTCGACATATTTCAAACCAGCCAGTGTGCGGTATCTGTGTCATTTCAAACATTTCATTGTATAATTTCAAGTGGCAATTCCACTTTATTACTGTAGCAGTCACTTTTTCTGCTATTTATTTAGTAGCAGTAAGTAGTAAGTAATCTTTATTTATATAGCGCCTATCACAGACCAGAGTCACAAAGCGCTTTACAACTGTTATTTTTGGGCATTTGGGAGTGAGGTCGGCAGTACAGGAGGCTCATGCCAGACCTATTGTGCATGTTTTTAGTGGTAGGGACAACCGGAGCACACAGAGGAAACCTAGACAGACACGGGGAGAACATACAAAATCCACTCGGAAAGACTGGATTCGAACCCAGGAGCTTCTGGCTGTGGAGCGAGAGTGTTATACCGACACGGTGGCTGAGTCAATTTATTAGGACCATTACCCTAATGCTGCTAATGTATAACACTTTCATCAGTCAATGCCGTGAAAAAGTATAATGTACATGTGAAGTTACTTTTAGGCTTTTTCCTAATTGCAATTCTAGTTATATAGTTTTATACCTATCTACATATATTTTCAAGCATACAGATTTTACTTATTTATCTTATTCATGATGTTATGTGTGTTTTTTTTTCTGCTGTTCTGTTCCCCACCTACAGTGAGTGATTATTTTACAGTAATTCAAACTGCAAAACTACAAAACATTTATGAATAGGATTGTGTTTTTACGTTATCTTGACTCTTTACACGAAGCGACATCCGTATCCCCGGCTCACAGAGGGAACATCTCACAGTGACAGGGTTGTCTGAAGGAGAGGCAAAAATATAAAAAATACATCGCTGCAATTCTCCCACTCAAAATTCGGGGACTGTAGGTAAAATGCTCCACCTCCGGTAGTTCTGATTAAGCCTGAGCATCAAGATCTAAAGATGGGTCCTTTCATTGTTCCCTATGGGCACAATAAAGTTGATCTTATTTATATATTTGTATGGAAAATGCAGAAGAACCGGGGTAGTAAATATATATCTATATCTAGGTCTATTAATATCTTGGCAATGTTTGTTATTGAGCCAGTTTTCCTAAAATATGTGACAAGACTAATGCTCAGGCTCTTTAATGGCGTTTAAATCAAATACAGAAAATACGAAAATGGAATAATACTAATGTCTAATATAATTCTTTAATGAATCCAAGTTCATTGCATGATCTTTGTTGGTCATGTTTTTGAGCCACACACTTGACAATACAGTAATAGTAACTACCTTTAATTAAAATGCTACTGTGTCTATACTGTGCTCGTCCACTAGACACTGGTCGTAAGTGGGGACGGTGATGGGCCTTCATACATATGCAGCTTCTAATAGCTCAGGCCTGTCTGCAGTATATATGGAAATGACCCTGTAGTTGATTTACATTTGCTCTGCTCTTTTTATATGCCGCGGTCATAGGAGAGAAAGCCAACGGAGGGAACAGAGGGCACGTCCTTCGCATTTTTTGTGTTTGTCCGTTTTAATTTACCATGTAACAATGCAGCTCATTACCCTGAGAATGAGGCTTAGTTCTTTCAATAAAAGCACAATTTGGGATAATAATTACGGGTCGTTCTAAGGAGAGGAAAGCGACTCAATCCTCTGTGCAACTTTCTGCCAGTAAAATAACAGGGCAACTCAAAACCCCTGCCACCATTTGTCTTTAGAATCCACTAGCTCAGTCTTTTTTGCCACTTCTACCATTTTCCCCTGGACATGACCCGATGTAAAGACTTGTTTTAGTTGTTTTTTTTTTTTTCTGACACTTGTTTTTGTGTCAGAAAGAGCTGGAATTAATAAACACAATCACGTCAGGGTGGGTGGATATTGGCTGAAGAAAAAACAATGGGGATTAAAGCTAAGATACAGAATATATTTTAGTCCACCATGTTACAATTAAGCAAAATGGAACTATATGAAATGTTAATGATCTTTCTCATGTGTGGCCTCCTTTCTCCTTACATGCACATTTATTTTTTACAATTTTTTTCAACTTTACTTTATCTTTGCTTAAGTTGAAATACTCCCAGCAATTGTCTTAATACAATGAATTAATACAATGAAATATGTTAGACAACAAACTCGTGGAGGCCTAATGGAACATACTGTATACATTATTGGATGAATAAGAAAAACGTATTGAATCCAAAATACTTGTTGTTTGTGTTAGATTTGGGAAAATATATGAATGACAAGATTATCTTGAGCAGTGAAACCCTTCTTATTGTGATGGAACTGGGGAATTATAATGCAATTTTTTTTAAATATCAAACCTGGCATGGTGTAATTAAGGGCACGCATTTCAATTTGTTTTAAGGCTACTTTTGTTTGAAAAGGCACAAAACTGGTCTGTTCAGGCAAAAGATTGGTCATAGCACTCCTAGTTTAACATTTCTGCTTCATACCTGGATGGAACTCTTATTGTTGTTATTGATGAGGGAATGATTGATGATGTTGTAACAATCTAAAAAAAAAAGTGTGATATTTGTCCTTTTAATCCAACCTAAGTGATGATGGACTGAGTTGACAACATTTCCAAACAGTCCAAACGCGTCTCACAGCATGATTGTGCAAAGGGTGAGTCTCTAAATCATTTCCATGATTAGAGCTGAGTGTGAAAGTGCATCAGGAGACAGCAGTGATGTCACGAGGCCTCCAGCCAACGGGAAACGCCTCAGGCTTCTGTTTGTGACCATATGTTGTGCTAAGAACGAGGGCTTGTGGGAGGATGCACATGTAACAGCGAAGAGGGGAATCTAGTTCATTCTCAGCTTTGCTCACGAGGATTTGGAGTTTCAATGAATTTGTTAGCACCATGATAAGTACGCACAGTAGACTTTCAGGGATAAGGAAACACTGTCTATAATAGGCCATTTCTTTACCATTTCAAACATTATAAGCAGTTTCATATCTGTAGTTTTAGTCATATCAATCTATTTTAATATGTATAAACAAATACATACATACATTAGTAAACTAAGATAAGAGAACCTTTATTTGTCCCACAGTGGGGAAATTTCTATGTTGCAGCACACAAGGAACACACAAAATATACAATACAATGCTTCTTCCTATTAGCAGTTAATGCTTCAGATCACAGGATAAACTAAAAAGATAGAAACCGTTTTGAAAATGACTTTTGAAAATGCAAAACGACAGAACATGAAGTGGACCAAAAGTTTAATATTGATGTTAATTATTGTATGTACGATAAGATATGATTAATTTGTGTCTTAAGACAAGACTAGCATTTACTGAGTATTGTAAAAAAGACTACCTTGCAATGTAGCTAACTTGAATCATATTACTTATAAGCTTGATTTGACTCATGCCCCATGGTCTGATACTACATCACAGTCCGACTCCCACACACTCCTGTTTGGGCCAGAAAAGAAAAGTCCATGTTTGACTCTCAGAAATCTCCTGTCTGAAGTTCCGTGAGAGAAAAGGCCTCTGAAGGTGTTGTCATCAGTTCATATGTCACACACGACACCCACACAACAGGACCTTCACATGTGTCACTCCAACCTGCTCTTTAGACAGGTGCGTTTGTCCAACAAGAACAAGATCTGTCTGCATGTCCTCTTAGAGTAGAGGGTAATTATTGCATTAGGTCCAATTGTAGATTTTAGATTATAACTGTCGCTTTTCAATAAGAACTCATGGTGCACGACAAAAAATACTTAGCTCTTACTTTCCGTCATAGGTGACTTTGCATTAGTTATATTCACTTGATCATTCTTGATTATTTCACCTGGGTTTGTTTCTTTGTTCGTCAGCAAGATAGGATACAGGTTTTTTTTAAAGGATGTAATTGTGCCTCTTGGCATAGGTCAACGCTCTACTAGTGCCTTGATTGCTAGAAAATATCCACTCTTCAAATTAAACCAATGTTTAAAAACCGCAATTGCAAGATCAAAAAAGCTAAAACAAATACTGGGCTGGGTGCTTTGTGTTCAAATATATAACAATTATCCCGATCTAAGCAGATGAAGATGACATTATGCAAAGATAAATAAAGGACAAACAATAGGTTTTTCAAAAGGTTTCCTCTCTTTAGAACTGATTCTATTTAGAGCATTTAAAACTTAAGAAGTGCAGCATCCAAGACCAAAACACTTGTACAGCTTCACTCTGATGAAATATCTTCAAAGACCAATATTCTTGTCTTTCTAAAAGGATTCCCCACAAAATGTCCAACTTTTCAGCAGTCAGAAACATTCTTGTAGCTGTTTAATATTGGACTGTGGCTATAAATAAATGCTGGCAGTAGTCTCCTCTCCAAGTTCATGATTAGGTGAGTTCAGAGTGGAGCTGCAGCGTGGGTGGATTCCACAAGAATAGTTACAGAGGAAAATTGTGATGTATTCTTCTTATTCAAGAGGAGGCGCTTGACCCTCGGGATGAAAGCAAGAGACTGCTCAATACACTGTTTCTGACTTTACATGTACTCGCGATGTATTCAGGTCCAAAAATAATCACTTCATTTTCATTGAATCTACTGTTTTAGTGCGGATTTTGTTATTAAGAAAACCTTTATTTGTCTCAAAGTGAGGAAACGGCAATGTTGCAACTTACAGCAGAAAACAGTAGGGATAACGTAGCGCTCAAAACAAAATAGTAGATAAAACGAGATGAATAGAGATGGTAGATTCTCTTTTTCCAGAGAGAGTGGTCGAGGAGGGTGTCATGGGGACTATTGTACATTTTTTTAGTTGTAGGCGAAGACAAAGCACCTGAAAGGAAACTTATGCAGACACAGGGAGAACAAGCACACTCCACACAGAGAGGCCTGGAGGTGGAATTGAACCAAGGACCACTGTCCCGCTCAAAATAGTTTAAAAAATAACCAGTAACAATGATAAGTCAATTTAAAATGACACAAAAATATGTTAATGTGGATTCCGAGCACAATATAAATTAAGAAATTCAGGAATGTTTCTATGTTTGACAAAGATACACACAAGTCAAAAAGGTAACATTTCAAACCGCTGTTTCCGACTTA